GCCTCGCAGCCCCTCACGCATTCCCCTCAAGGCCTTTGGGGCACTTTCCCCTCCCCATGGCACACCTGGGCAAGTGTTGCTGAGCACAAGGGCCCTTCTTCCCCTCTACCCCAGTGCACTGTGGATACCGGGCACCAAAGAAAACTCCTGAGCCTCTGTGCATGCTAAGAGGGATTTAATATTGACGTGTTGGGGTAAGAGGAGGAGAGGGGTCTTTTCAAACAGGATGAGTTATTTGATCAGACGGGGTTCCCACGATCAGTTCTCTGCAGGGCTCTGGCAGCTGCTCCACCGAGGAGCCTCCCTAATCCTTTCATTCTGGAGCGGGTCTTCAAGCTGCTGGAACGTGGAGAAGAACGAGGTCTCTCTGCAGAGCGTAGCATTTTCAGGTTTTTGAGTGCCAGACATTTGATGGCAGTGCTGTCATGAGTCATGCCTTGAAGGGCTGGAACAGAAAAGAACAGAGCTGAGGCCAGAGCCTGCATCTGTGGGGACCCAAGAAGCCCCTCCTGCCAGGGCCATCCCAGCCAGTTCTTGCTATTGCCAGGAGGAGCAGGGCCCATGGGGATCAGCCAGAAGGTGCTGGCCACCAATACCCCTCATGCCCCTGAAATCTCCCTCTGCTCTGCCCAAGCCATTCCTCATCCATGCAAGTAGGAGAGCCCTCCACAGCCAGGGCAGGACTGTAGCTCCCTGCCCAGGGTCCGTGCTCCTCCACCAGCCCCCAGATATCCCACTGCCCTCATTCACCATCCATGACGAGCTGCAACTCTTTCTTCTGCCCTTTCAGGTATCTCACGGCCATCCCTGGGAACACAGATGCTGTCAGGGCCCCAGCGGTGTCACAGCTCCCCCCCAGTGGCACTGCCAGCCCGGCCACACGCCCTCCTGCCCTGGCAGGGCTGAGCCCGGGCCCTTCCCACCTGGGGATGGCCCAGGGCTGGGCTAGCACAGGGCGGCAGCAGCGCCAGGGCACTCGAGGCTCCCCAGCACAGCCCTGGTGACCTTGTGGCTCACCTATGAACTTGATGGCTGCCTCTTGCAGGGGCTCCTGTGGGCTCTCCAGGTATGGAAGGGCCAGGTGCACATATTCGGACACTCGGCTCTTGTCCTTTTCCAGCTGCAGAGAGCAGCAGGGCACAGAGGGAATGGTTGGCTGGGGCTCTGCCCCTTGGCCGGGCGCTGCCTGCGCCCAGCACTGGCCGCCCTGCCCCACAGCCCAGCTGGGCCGGGGCTCCAGCGGCACCCTGGCTCGGGGGCACAGGAGCTGCAGAGGAGCCCGCAC